TTGAGTACCATGAACACCTGGGGGCTGAATTTGAAATCTTTAGCTAGTACATGCATAGGAAATATCCCTACAAAGTTTCAGCTCCTTAGTTCGTGTAGTTCCCGAGATCACTTTCCCGCCAAAAAATTTGCATATTTTTTTAAAGCTTCCGTACGCGGCATCCAGGCGTTCGTAGAGGATAAAATTAAAACGGGAGGGTCGCGCATGGTGTAGGCACATATCCCCAAAGTTTCAGCCTTCTAGCTTTTTCTTGAGTTGAAAGTGGGTGAGGAAAAGTGCGAAAACACAGACACACACACACACACACAGAGACAGCCTCTTCCCAACATGTGTTTTTGCAATTTACACATATGCAAAAACGCATAAAAAGTAAAAAACCCTAACTTTAGCACAACTGTGAACGGTTTTCCAGTTAGTAATTTGGCGAACTCGTGATGCCGCGTATCCAAATCAACGGCCATCTTTACAGTTGTATTGGTACCAGCCATGAGATTGTGGACGTACGGAGGATCGAATCGAATTGATGCAAACGTACGTATTCCAGTACTGGATACCGATACTATCAAATTCAGAAAAATACGCAACAAAAGCAGAAATGGACATCCACTGCGAGCACGCGTCATCCCAAATTTATCAGAAAAATTCCTGAAAATCAATGGTATTCATGAGGAAGAAGTAGAAGTGAAGGAGGACAATAAGACGCAGTAACACTTCATAATAAACGATGAATTTCTTCCGCATCTTTCATGTAATGACCCAATGCCCACTTACAGCCGGCTTTTATCATAAACAGTGGCCATTCGCAGAATCTAAAATCACCAACACCAAGCTGTTCCAATGCGAGTTTTACGGGCTGCGCAACGGAGGAATCAGTGAAATCCAATTTTTGCGAATATAACAGCTTTTGTGCAAAAATTCCTTAATTTTAAAATTATTCGATGCACATTCTAAGACAAAAAAAAATCGGCAAAAAATCCTTCTTACATATGATATCTGCTTTCACATATGGATGCGAAACGCGGTTACTGATGAAGGCTGAACAGCAAGCACTGGCTTAGACGGAGAAAGTACTGAAGCGAGGGATGCTTGACATGTCTATCCTGATCAAATGAAAAATAAAACTATTCGTCAAATAAGAGAAACGCGCGATATCAACAAGAAAACTAAGCTGGAAATCGCTCGACAAACCGCACATGTACATGACACTGAACAATATTCGAACGAATCGAGTTCCTCATTTTCGCTATTTCCCGAACTTTCGAATCATGACAAGTTATCTGCTATACTATTGACCCTTCTGCTTCACTCCCACGGTTGCAGCAATGCACTCGTAAGTACGGTACCTTTATACAAATTATAATGATTGACTGCTACTGTAGGCAGTGCATGTTTCCCAGTTTTTGTCGGCTTTCTCGGTTTTCGAAAACGAAAACAGCACACTCAGAGAACAGCATCTTAAAGGAGGTAATGTCGAAGTGGAAGAGCATGATGTATGTCATTATCCTTGACTTGATGTGTGCCGATATCCGGGCAAGTGGTCCTAGCAATCTGGCTAATTTCATGGTTGTCGGCAGAGACAAAGAGTATCAAGCGAAGTAAACCTTAGATTGCTTGTTTACACTCTTTCTTTGTTAATATTCATCATCGCGATTACTAATTAGTAACATAAATAGACTTTGCTAAGCATCAAACATCTCTTCAGACTGAAGAAGCAAGCAGCCCACAATCGTTTGGCTTCGCTGGGAACACCCGAAGTAGAAGGCGAAGCCATGTCCTTTTTTATTAAAAGCAAAATCCAAACAAAAAAGAAATCAGAGACCAGAAATTTAGTTGGAGAACGCAAAAGTTATTCAATTAGTCCTTCTTCTTTTAGCATTTTTTTTTCTTCCTTTTCTATTATAGCCTTCCTTTTTAAAGAAACTTTCCAGCTAATCTATTACCTCCTTTGTTATTAAGCTCATCTTCTATCTAATTAATTAAACGAGCATGAAGCCTAACTGGAAATATGCATGACTCAACGGGAAATGCTTGAAATTCTATCAGGGAGGTCTGGATTCTACGTACAGAAACCAATTAGAATAAGAGGATTAGGGAGAGACAACGATGAAGAGTTTTAAGTAATCCTTGGAAGGGAGATCACCAGCTACCACTCGTGTTATTTCTGTTTGCCTTCATCTCGGAGAAGGCATTCACCGAGTTTTTAGTAGAACCAAGGTCAAATCGGCCAATTTTTAAACCGATTAATATAAGAAGCTCAAAAATCCAAAATAATTTTCGTTATTTGTTATCCAAAAAAATTCGGAGGTGCAAAAATTCGGCCAAATCCTTATATTGCAGACGCATTACATGAGTTCAGGCAGTCTTAACGATACTGATTGACCAAGTAGAAACAGTTTCATTAGTTATCTTCTATGAATCTCCGGGCTATGAAATAAATCATATGCATGCAGTGCTTTGTCTGAATAGGCCATAAATTTGATTTCTCACAGAGAACTCCTACGTTTTTTAATATTGACATTAGCTGTCGTTCGACACCTCCAAATAAACCGTGAAGCAAACGATCACAGACTTCAGTTTTGCTGACAGTCAGCTTTAATGCATTTGCAATGATTTTTGAGATCTTTTGACGCCAGATCTCATGGAATGATCCTTCATTCCTGGCCCGTTTCGCTTTCGACAAAGATAGTGTGCAGCCGACTTATGATATCCTTTCACGGCATTACGCTCCCCTTTCGCAATGGGACTCCTACTTAGCGTTGCATTTCATTATTGCAAGCAGGCTGATGGCTCTCTGACTTGTGCCAGTACCAATTTACCGTTAATACGAGTGACTGAATTGTCGAAAGATTGGTTTTCTTGGTAACGAAGTCAGGTACCAGCACGAAAGCCATGCTAGTAAAGATATTGATAAAGATAAATATAAAAAATAAAAATATAATAAAAAAAAATAATATTATGAAAAGGAACACTTCGGTCCATTGAGTCGTATACATTGTTAACCCTTCTTGGCATTTCCAGATGGAAAACGCCTGGAAGTACCATTAATGAATACATCAACTAAAATACTACTCGTCCAATGGTTTTGAGAAAAAAAAAGAGCTCGAAAAGCAATTAATATACGGTTACTGCGGAAACAGAAAAGTGCATTGGCACAGGGGCCCAGGCAATGGACGGAAACGGTGAGGAGTAGGAGGAGAACGAATCTACGCCGCAAAGATGGCCGGCTTTGCGATACTCTGCTCGCACGCCCTAAGCAAACCAACTGGCAAATGGAAAACAGCGATAGTGGAACAAAAATACTCAAGCAAAATATGCAGTGTTTACATCAGACGGAATGCTTTTGCGCTAAATTAATAGCTATTCGCATTAATTATGCCCTTAGTCTTTTTTAGTATAAAATCTCCAACAGGCTGGCTACCAGGTAATGCAACACTGGTTAAAGAAACTAGAAAAATTGCCACCTGCATAGTGTAAATATCTTTCTTATTTCTTAAAAACGAGATATTATTCAAATTCCCTTTATTTCCTCTTTAGACATTTCCCCTACACTTACCGTATCCCACTTCTATACCCTCGCGGAATTCCGTGTAAACACAAAAGCTGGTACTGAAATTTCTCAGAGGCATAACTAACAGCTCTTTTTTATCCACTCTGTACTGCCGGATACAAAAGGGGTAAACAAAGCGGGGCGCCTCCTCTTGGGAGGTAGGACTGGGATTCCCTATATAAACTCCCTTTTCCCTCTTTCGAGATGTTTTGGGTCGGATTATTCGATTCACGGTTCTGGGTTCAGATTATTCAATTCACTTCGGGGCAACCAGCTGGACGCGTGGTTTGGTCTCCAGACGTAGCGGATCGAAATCAGCAAAAAGCCTAACAAAATCCTATGGCCTTCGACCCAGCGTTCGACTTATTCCTGCGCCCACTTTTTGTACAGACGCTCGAGTATGCTTTTCTGTTAACTAAATTGTGCATAATATGAACAACGCTTTGCTCTTTCTCCCTGCTTAGTCACAAAGACACCGTAATTCCTCACGCAACATCCGTCAAAACATTTACTATTGCTAGGGAATGTATGAAATTAACAGTTCACTTTCGGTAGCGTGCTTTGATTAGCTGTTGCTTTATTGTAACGCACCTTAACGGGAAGCAGAGAAGTGCTAGGATCTCAAGTAAGTCAACCTATTTGAGATCTAATACCGGTTTTTCTGCTCTCCTTCGTTCTTTTCAAAAAAAAAAAAAAAAGTGCTAGAAATTCCCTCTGCTGTTTGAGCGAGTTTTACAACCCATCCGCCCACGATTTACTCGCAGTTTTTCGCAACGGTTTTTACCGGCTAAAGTGGCTAAGAATTAATCGTAAACGCATTTCAAGGAATTCGGGAATTTCGATGCCACATTATGCGGCTCTTTTCCGCTGCGCATTTTGTTAATAAATCGGTTTGTTGCATGTAAATGGTTTGCAGTTTGATGAAACAAAAACTTTCCAAATATGTCACGGGAGGTTGAAATTTAGGAATACTCACTTCAACAGAAATTCGTCATAAGCAACAAAAATTACTAGTGCTAAAAAGCGGCTAAGTCTTATTCTGGAACTTAAGCTGACCTGTACTGACCAAAAGGACCGCTTCTTGAAAGACTGCTTAAAAGTGTTCAACCGCAAGAGTCACTAAGGCATGGACAATACGAGAATCTGCAAAACTGCAGAGAATCTTTAGCGCCAAGGAAATTATTTCGTTAAATACTGGCTCAGTTAACTAATTGAATCTAAGTGTAAAGAGGCGTAACGAACACAATGAGGCTTGGCGTAAGTACAGTTGGATTCTGCATGTAATACTTTAAGAATATAAAAATATGATATAGTTATTTTCAAATACAACTAGACTACTCAATACTTCAAAGCCATAGTCCTTATTAAACATTGCTCAACAGAATTATAAACATATTAATAGCAGCAGAGGATTATGTAGCTGCCAAATTAACGCAAAAGTTAACCAAAATGAAGCAGATTTAAGAAATCATGGTATGGTATAGAAGAAGGGAGATAATTACTGAATAGGAATGCTTCGGTTCATTTGTGGGTACTTTCCAAGGTAGTCTATTATGCCGTAATGTAATATCTGCTTCATGCTGTTAGCAGCAAATACTGATTT